TGTGCAGTGTAGGCAGAGACCCCAGGCCTTATAGACACCTTAGCACCCATTATGGTTAGAATGGAAAAGGCTTCCTCCACCCAACCCTTACTCACTGAACACTTAGTCCCCAAGCTGGTGGCACTGTCTGGGGGAAAATGTGGACCCTTTACAATAAAAGTGGGTCACTGGGGCAGCAGATCTGATAAGTTATAGCTTGGTGCTGTTTCCACCCACACTCTGTTCCATGATCTGCTATCATATGGACAAGCAGGGTCCTGTGCCTGCTGCCACATTCTCGAGACAACTTTATCACGCCTTGCCTGCCATGATGGACGGACTATACACTTCCAAAACAGGAGCCGGAGTAAACCCTCCTTAAGAAGCTTTAGTTCAGTATTTTTATCACAGTAAGGAGAAAAAAAACTATGTCATCGATACCTCCAGCTGGGTTTCTAAGAGAAATCACCCTGAGCCACGGACATTAAAAAGTTGCAGGCCAAAGATCCTACTGACAGAGAAGTGGTGCTGAGTGGACCTTCTTGATGTGTCAACACCAGGTGTGACTCAGAGATGACTCATACTCAGATGTGTCACTAACATATACTAATGTTCTAGAATGGTGTGACTTCAATGGGTTTACATTTAAAAGCCTAGGGATCACACAATCCATTCAATTGCAATTACTGCCTGACTTGCAGCTTACCAATCTGATCCTAGACACAACCCATTAGAAGCACAGATGATACTGGTTCATAAAATAGCTAATTTCTTAGACATTATTTCCCTCAGTTCTTGTGAGAACTCTGCACACATCACAAGAGCCCACACCCAAGGATTCCCTTCACGCCTGTCCCCACTTAACACCCGGCTGGAACATGTGATGACGGTACTATTAGGGCTTTATGCTACTGAGTAAATTAAAACCAGGTGTGGGAGTGCTGTGCTTTAGACTGGACAGCTGAGTATCATCATTGCTTGAAGAACTACCAAGGAAAGATTTGAAGGAAGCCAACTAAAACAGCGAGGCAAGCCAGTGACCCACTGGCTAGAGAGGATGCAGGGGCTATAAAATTTCTAGGCATGGGAGCTGGTAAGACGGCTTAGTGGGCAAACGCTCTACAAGAATAAGGTCCTGAATCCTGATCCCACACCCAAGTAAAATACTGCGGCAGGATGGGCACCTATAGCCCCAGCCCTGGATGGGGTTGCAAATTGGAGGATTGCTGGGGCTTGCTGGCTGCCAGCCTAGCTCCAGGCTCACCGAGAGACAAACCCTGCCAGAAAGGAATAAAACGGGGTATCTTATGTGCTTGCATGCGTGCAGCCATGTGCACATATAACACATACATACACATCCAAGAGAGAGAGAGATCCAGGCAGGGGGCATTAAAAGGCTGGATGGTCGGGGCCTGCAGGTTGGAGTGAGGAGAAGCAGCCATTCTCACACATCAGCATATGAATCCCCTGAGAGGTTCAGGAACATGTGGGCTCCAGGCAGGCCCCCTGTGATTCTGACGGAGGAAGTCTGCCATGAGTCCCTGGGATCTGCATTTTTCTGCACAGGTGGTCCAGATCTATAAACACCAACAGACTCCCCCACAAAGCCCATTTCTGTTGCTTTGTTTTAAGGCAATGAACAACACCTTTCCTGAGACAAAAGACAGAAAATGAAGACACAAAACTTCAAGCCTTCACCTCAATAAAATTTCAAGATAATTAATAGAGATTAGTTACTTGCTAGAAAATAAAGTATTCATGTGCACACCACAGACTGGGTAAAAAACAAAATTATATTTAGATGATCTAATATTTCTGAGATGAAGTAAATCCAATGGCTGAGTGAAAGGCAAGAAATAAACCTCTATCACCTGAAGTTATCCACTAAGATAATATTTCAGCCACCCATTGTGAAAAGGAAGCCTGAACCAACAACATCAAAAGGCACCAACTACATCCAAGAACACATACTAGAAAGGGTTAAGTGCAACTGCATCTGAAAAAAAAATAGCTTTTACCAGCCCACACAAATCCAGAGAGAGGTGTTTGGGGTCCAAGGTGACCTAATATTTTCATAAATAACTCCAAAGATGGAGTGAGAATTATGCAAATCAAACCACAGATGATACAAAAATGGCAGGGATTGCAAGTCTGTGGAGAATGGAATTTAACTACTGGGCAATGTCTTTAAATTTGCCTTTATTGAATCTTGTATATTGAAGTCACACATTATTGTATCTGTTTATTGAGATTCAATGGGGCCAAATGCAGAGTGATTTATGGAAAGAAAGATAATCAAATGCCTCAGGAGAAAGAGTCTACACCTGGAGAGACCCTGGCACCGGACAGATGGGGACTGACTAGGAAGTGGTTAGGTGTGCACAAAGCAGTTGGGTATTCTCTGAAAATGGGGGGTTATTCCAAGAGCTGGTATAGAAATCAAACAAGAAAATGTCTATTCTCTGAGCTACTTGGCCTTGATGCTACTTCTGGTAGAAGTGTTTAAATGTAGACCCAAAAGGTAATTCAGAGCAGGATGGCACCAAGATTATGGAGTAAGACAGACCCTAATCTACCCAAGAATTCAGAGGATGCTAGAGCAAGATGCTAAACATGTCTATTTGTTGGGGAAGGAGACACAAAAGACAAAGGGATGTGGAGGAGAGAGCAGCTCTGGCTCCCACTAAGGAAGAACAATCATGGGGAGCACAACTGGAATGGTGGAGGAAGGGCATCCTCCAGATGCTGAAGGAGGGCGACAGGATACCTCTCTAGTTAGGATGCATTAGAGATTATTAAAAGCATTCCTTGTCCAGCTCAGGGGTAGGGAGTGGGCTTCAAGACCTCTCTAAAGGTCACTTCTACCCCTAGAGATCACCTGTCTGAAGGGCACCAGATAAAAATAAAGTCTATTAATCACCAGGCTGTGGCTGTGGCACAATGTCCTGAGAGAGTCAGAATGAAGAAGGGCAAACTGCAATGGACCTTGCTTGGCAGAGCGAGGAAGAGGGAGGCAGTACTTATGTGGCCCTTCAAGGAAGCTGCTGCTGACTGAGACTTCCAGAAAGCTGGTGCCTCCCAAGGATTCATCCTCTTCAAGGGAAACTGGGAGGAAGTGATCCTGTGGGGAGGGGAGCAGAAAGTAGCCAAGGACACCAAGAGCCCCTAAGCAAAGCTGAGAGATTTGGAGGAGAGAGGGTCTGCTGTAATCACAGAGCAGGAGATTGGAGGACACGGCCTGGTGCAGGGTTCTGTGCAGAAGAAGAGAGCCAGGAGCCAGGCAAGAGGACACTCAGAGAAGATGCTTCATAGAGATACTTCACTGGGACACAGATGTCAGAGAAAGAGGAGGGAAGAAAAGAACAGGGGAGAGACCAAAGCAAGAAAATAGTACATCAAGAGTGCGTCCAGAAATATATCAGACTATTACACCTCAGAATGCCACAAAAATTCTAGAAATAGGACCAGTAAAATGGCTTAGCAGGTAAGTGCATTTGCCACCAAGCCTGATGACCCAAGTTCAATCCCTGGAGCCCATGGATGGAAGGAGAGAACTAACTCCTCCAAGTTGTCCTCCAGCTTCCACACAAGCCATTGTATGCATGTACCCCACCCACAGACACAGACAGTCAGTCATGTAATAAGAACTGAAGTTACAGAAATAGAAAAAGTTCACCCGCTATCTATAACAGCAGAGAGTCACGTAATGGGAAACATAGCTTTTAAAAAGAGAAATGGAGTAGCTACTATGTCTCAGCTTCGAAGCAGCTGTTGTCATTCCTACTAGGGTGCTATACACAGCTGGAAGTCCCAGCCACTGCCTAGTCTTCCAAGAACCAGCGTGTTTGGATTGTCCACATATCAGGACACAACTGAATACATCCGGGAAGTGAAGCCCAGGCCAAAGCAGGTGCCTTATGCCAAAAGGAACCAGACCCCAGGCCCTGATCCCTCTCTTCCTGGAACACAGTTGCTTGAGGATGGTGACATGACCTGCAGAAATCTCAGGAATGTCATTTGCATGGTGCATTAAGCAGCCAAATGAGAGTCATGGAGTTTGAATTGTAGCAAAACATTGTCCCACCACATGTCATCCCCATAGGGCACAGAACATTTTGGAATTAAGAGGCCAGTGAAGGATAGAGGAGAGGTGCCATGCCATTGTGCTCCCTGTGTCCCATCCCCTGGCTTTCTTTGCCTCCACAGAGCTGCAGGACCTGACAAAATGAAGAGGCACCCAGAGCATCACCAGGCCGGGTCCTGCCTTGTCTAGATTCCTGCTGTCCTCAGCCTGGTACCAGTGGCTGAGCTCTGGGTTTTGAGAACCGACAAGAGAGAAGTCCCTAGGCATGTGGCACTGGGGGCTAGCCTTGCCATGGAGGGAACAGGAAGTGCCCAACAGAGTAACAGACAACAGGGCAAGGCCGGGGAACCTAGCCATCCCGTACCCTGGCATGTGAGATAAAATAAAGCCACTATCCTCCTGGTGACTACAGTCCCTCCTTGTGCCCCTCCCCAGGCAGGAGCCAGGCAGCCACACTTCCAATGATGCCTCTGAATCAGGAAAGGAATGGTGGAGATGACTCGAGGGCCATTTACTAAGGCAAGCCATCGTCATAGAAAGGACAAAGAGAGGGGGAGAAGAGAAATGAAATTAGAGGGAAACAAACGGAAAGTGACAGAAGCCAGCCACTTTTGTCAGAGAGTTTGGGGTGACACTTTGCTCGTGATTCTGAACTGGAGAAAGATGTGGAAGATAGATCTTGGAAGAGACAGAGAATGTGAGAGAATGTAGGAAGAAAGCCAGGATGGAGACCTGGCTTCCTAGAGAGCAATCTGAGAGGTAGCGTCCCCTGCCAGACTATCCCCTGAGCCCAGAGCCCTACCACAGCGGTGACAACAGGCAGGAGTTGTGACCACACAGACATGGAAGCCGAAAAGTCCGGTGCCACCCAGATCTGGTGGGCAGCTGCCAAGACAGCATGGGAAGACTAGGCTGGCACAGCACGCAAGTTACTTACTGTCACACACGTAGGGTTTGTCGTGGTCTTCCTGAGAAGCAGCATCATGTCTCCTCCTGCCGCCTGCAGAGCCACGAGCCTGAGGAGACATTCAGTATGAGACACTTGTTATTATGACATCCTCTCAGCTCATGGGCATATGCTCTTTAGGGCCTGAGTGGATCACCTGCATCACAGCCTCTGTTCCCATGCCAACCCTGCTTTACAAGCAAGAAAACGAAGACCCAGGGGACTAGGTAACTGTCCCAAATCACTCAGCTGCTCACCTGGCTCGTCCCATTCTTTTCATAATAACTCCAAGAAGGGTAGGTATAACAGTGGCCCCCTTGTAGAGGTGAGGGGACTAAGGCAGCAGAGAGCTGAACTTTCCCGATGCCATCCATTTACTAAATGCAAAGCCAGACTAGAAACAGGAAGTGTGACTGAAAGGGGGTGTCATGGCCTGAATATGAAAATCCCTAGCTAGTGGCATTGTTCTGGGGGGGGGGGGGTGATGGCAACTTTAGGAGGTGGAGCCAAACTGGAAAATGTGGGGAAAGCATGGGGTTACGTCTTTAGAGGTTATACTTGTCCCGGGCACTCTTCTTCCTGCCCCTCAATGTTTCCAGGTTACAGTGGGGTAAACTACTTTGTGCAGCCATACTCTTGCCACCGTAGGGTTCTGACTCCCCACAGACCCATTGCAATGGAGAAAGCCAACCGTGGCTGACCCCTCTGAAGCCATGAGCCAAAATAAAACCCCATTCCTTTAAGAGGCTCCCTCAAGTGCTCCCCCACAGCAAGAGTAGGCTAACCAATAAAGTCCTGGATCCATCAGGTATGAGGTCTCTGCCACTCCCACACAGTGTCTCTCTACTCACTGACAGTAGAAGATGCCATGCTGTTTTGTGGGCTGGTCACATGATGAGCACCCTGGGGACTGGGACAGGGGGTATAACCACAGTGTCACCCCAGGTTCCTGTGCCCACACTGCCTGCCCAACGGCCTCAAGAGCCCAGTCTCCCCCTTCATGTTTGACCTTCACAGCAGAGCTAGGCTTCAGGCAGAGCTCCTATATGTGGTCTACCTCAGGCCTCCAGCCAGGGACTAAGATCTTAACCTTCAAGGTCAAATGGAGATGGATTCCTGATACCTACCAGAGCCCTGTGTGTCTCCCTGGGTGGGTCACGTGAGGGCAGGGTGGGGAGCTGGCGGAAGGAGCTACACTTCAGTACTAACAGAGACTACCCTGAAAGGCTGCCGGCAGCTCTGCATCCCAGAAGGGCAACGGCTACCAGAAAGCAGCAAGGCTTATTTATAAGCCACTGTAAGCCCCACGCCAGCCTTCCTGCAGTACCTTTGCCTCTCCGGGTCATCCATTGCTAATGAGTAGCAGTAAACTCCCAGCCATGGAAAGGGCTGGCTGCAGGTCATCAGGGACAGAGAGGAAGGGTCAGCAGAGGCGGAGTGTGACAGGACAGAAGGCACAAGCCCAGGACCTGCTCCAGAGAAGTGAGCCCAAGTGTTCTCGGTGCAAAGCCTGGGATGGATTCTCCCACACATACACACTCACAAATCTAAGCGTTCATATCTCACTGGGGATGCCACTGTACGCCACTCTCCAGGCCCGTCGTACTCAATCCCAAAATACATGTACTTCACAACCAACTCCACCTGCCAACGGATCACTTTTGGGTCTCCTCAGCTTGTCATTTTCGGGGGTGGGGGGAACAATGAAATTCCACCTCCCTCCTTGGCGCTACCTTCCTGCTCCCATCCACACTATGGATAATCAATAGAAGATACTCTGTCTCCACCCCCTTCCTTTTCATCCCCCTCCTCTTCATCCTTTTCTTCTTCCTCCGCCTCCTCCTCCTCTTCCTTCCCATGCCCTCATTACTCAGAACTAACCCCAGGAGGAGGTGTGAGCACTAGCCATCACCCTGAGGCACTGACAGACACTATATCTAGGATGCTGAGGGTGGTTGCCTTAAGGCCCTGGCCCTCCCCACACCTTTTCAGTGAAGCCAGGGACAGCTTGGATGCACAGCCCACAGCCCTGTCACAGCCCCTTGGAGCAGGTAAATGTTAGTCAGGCAGAATGATGAGGCCAAAGTAAATGCTGGAAGGGGCTCTGCAAGACTGGCCACATGTCAAGGCAGGAGATGAGGGGCAGGAGATGAGGGGCAGGAGATGAGGGGCAGGAGATGAGGGGCAGGAGATGAGGGGCAGGAGATGAGGGGCAGGAGATGAGGGGCAGGAGATGAGGGGCAGGAGATGAAGGGCAGGAGATGAGGGGCAGGAGATGAGGGGGCAGGAGATGAGGGGCAGGAGATGAGGGGGCAGGAGATGAGGGGCAGGGGATGAGGGGGCAGGAGATGAGGGGGCAGGAGATGAGGGGCAGGAGATGAGGGGGCAGGAGATGAGGGGGCAGGAGATGAGGGGCAGGAGATGAGGGGCAGGAGATGAGGGGCCGGGAGATGAGGGGCAGGAGATGAGGGGCAGGAGATGAGGGGCTGGAGATGAGGGGCAGGAGATGAGGGGCAGCACTGCTGGGAACCAAGCTCCCTTCCCTTGCTGCTGGGCTGACCAGCAGGGAGGCTGCACACTCCCACACTCCCCAGGCACTGGTCTTGCCAAACAGAGGAAAAGGCTATAGGGCATCTGAGGGAATGCATGTGGGATTCTCCTAAGGCAACGGAATTCTCCATCTCCTGGAAGACTCAAGCTTGACAACTCAGAAGCCTGTGCATCCTGCTCAAATGCCCACTGATGTCCCCTTGTCCTCTCCCATCTTTGTTCGCCTCTGCTTTTTGTTTGGTCACAGCACTGTTGTTATCTGGCACTATAATGTACATGTGTTAGTTCATTTGCTGATTGTCTATGTCCCACCACCACAGCTGCCAGATCACTGCATCAGTCCATCAGGCAGTGAGTTGATCACTGTTGTTCCCTTCTTTGCTGGATCCCATTGCTATCGTTTCTTCCCTCAAAGGTCATTAGCCGATCCTGAACTCCCTGGGAAAGCTCCAAGCTGGGGCTCTACCTCCCCACTGCCCAGCCTAACCCATCCTGGTGACCACCTGGCCACAAGGGAAGAGAGGTGTGGGAACTTGAGGCCATTCACTCACTCACACTCTTCCATTGCCAGCTGACACACTTACATAGCCAATGGCAGCCTGCCACCAACCCAACAGTCTCACCCAGGCTCATGCTGTTCTACATCTTTGTTTTCGTGGCTCCTTTTATGGTCGCCTCTCCCTTGCCAGCCATAGTCAACCTACATTTCTGCCCTGTGAGCATCCCACTCCTCCAAAAATCCTCCCGGTGCCACGGAGTGAAAACAGCATTGTTTTAAAGTCCGATGGGCCTAAATTTAAATTCTAGTTGCATTGGTCAGATATTCATTACTATAACAAAAAGCCTGGAGCTAGTACTTTCATAAGGAAAGGAGGTTTGTTTTGGTTCATGGATCTGGAGGGGCAACATGTCAGGAACTCAACTGGTGGTATCCTTCTCGCTACCAAAATCCAAAGGCAACACAGAGTACCGCATGGCAAGAGACAGGGAGGCCTCATGTGAGTTTCTTTCAGTCCCTCTCCCTCTTCTTATTGACCCCCAGGACCCAATCAGGAAGCTCTCCTCTAACCTCACCTAATAATCCTAGTCACTTTCTGAAGGCCCCTACTAAATACTAGAGCCATCCAATTTCTGACTTCTCAACATCTCACAATGGGTTTTAAATTTCAGCACACAAAGTCTCCAGTACACTCAAGCCATATCCAAACAACAGATAGCACCAGCTGTGTGTCACAGAATGAGCTACCCCTCTAAGCCTTAACTTACTCACTTATAAAATGGGCAACAGAAGGCCAGATGTGGGAGTACACATCTGTTACCCCAGCACTCAGGAGACAGAGGCAGAAGGAATACTGCAAACTTAAACCAACCTGGTCTATACTTAAAGTTCCGGACCATCCAAGGCTACTTAAAAAGACTGCGTCTCAGCCAGGTGGTGGTGGCACACACCTTTAATCCCAGCACTTGAGAGGTAGAGGCAGGCAGATCTCTATGATTCAAGGCCAGCCTGGTCTACAAAGCAACACAGAGAAACCCTGATTCGAAAACTCAAAAAAAAAAAAAGGGGGGGGGACTGTCTCAATCAAAATATACATAAGTAAATGAATAAATAAAACAGGCACAAAACATTTCAATGGCACAGTTGTAGAGATGCTTAGAGTTAGGAGTGTCAAGCCACAGGAACACAACATCAAGCCCACAGGAAGTCCTCAGTAAGTTAGTGACCCTTCCATGCCCTGTGGATCCTCTAGGCTCTCATGTTTGGTTAGCATGTGATAAGAAGCTGGCAGTCCTATTTCTGTATTGACTATTAGCACCTCCCCTGTTTGAGTCTTACATCCTTGAGGGGAAAGATGGCATTTTATGCTTTATCATGATCCCCTTAACATTTGTACACAGCACAAAGCTCTTCTATACATATTAGCTCTGGTGATTCTACCGTGACCTTGTGAGTTGGAACAATCATGTTGCTATCCATGTCTTATCAGTTGGTGCCAGTTTTAAGTGGGTTCATGACTTGCCCACAATCCCAGAGCTGGTGGAAACAGCAGGACAGGTTTCCAGACTCTGATTCAGAACCCTTTGGACCTTACCCTCCAAAAGTGACCCATCGTCCTCTAAAGATGTTCAACTCCAATTCACACACTGGGGGCCATGACAGCCATGATTGTACCACAGGACAGGGCCCTGCCTTACTGACCATAAGTGGAGAGGCTCAGAAAGTCAACTAGTTACTACACCCAGCTTATTTTAGCTCCAACCTGGGCCACTGGGGTCTACTTCAAGGAACTTAAAACTTGAAAGCAGTGACCTTGTTGATCACCTGAATTGTATGAACCCATAAATTCAGGAGATCTAGGGTCCTGCCCACAAGGGAGGAAAGGCAGGTACCAGAGGGAAGAGAGAGGAAGCAGAAGCCATGGGTGGGGGTCCTTATTCTCCTCGGTCCTGATCCCCTGTCACCTCCCTGATCTTCTTGTGATCTGCATCTTCAAAGATCACTCACACTTGGGACAATGG